TATGTATATGTGTGTATATGTGTATATATATATATATATATATATATGTGTGTGTGTGTGTATATATATATATATATATATATATGTGTGTGTGTGTAGTATATATATATATATATATATATATATATCACAAAAGCAGAAAGCCTGTTAAGCAGATTTGTATTAAAACAAAAGAGACCGCCTGGATAAAACAAAAACGTAATGCGAGTCCTATACGTTTCTTCTTTATTCTCATATTTTCCTATCCTCCAATTCGCATACAATTAATCATACATCATAACAGAATGAAGCGCTATGTCTGTACGTGATAGGCAATTCGTACAATGAGAATATTTTAACTCAAAATTGAGCATGATACTTCGATGATATGCCTTTTTGTTTAAATTTAACTTGTGTTTTTGAAACATGCTCTATAGATATTATGACATCTGTCTAAATAACATTGATTATATTAAGTAGGTAATTGTTTTATTCTCTTTGCTACTTTAATTAAATAAACCTCCTGATTTGTAACAAATTAACATTAATAAGCTGTTATACTAACAATAGGAAAAAAGGTATTTTTTTTTTCATCATGACCGATGTAATAACGAGCTCTAATCATGAATCTGTCATATACTGAGCTGATCACTTTCAGACAAGCGTTACGACAGCGGAGGTCACGTGATCCTAGTAACACGTCATATTCTCGAAGCTTCGTGAATCCTCGGGAGGTTACTAGATTTCGGTATTCTTTTATATATAAGACGGTCAAGACGTGACGGCAACAGGGTAATGTGTAATTGAACTGCGGACAGAGAGACGTATTATTGAGCACGTGAGACGTTCGTTGTGAATTATAGCGTTTGTTATAGCGTGACCGTGGAAATTAAGTGTATTGCAAAGTTGTATTTAGAACGAATAAACCAGTTTTGTTTAAGAAAGGACTTGTATCGCTAAAGTTTCTTCAGAAAGAAATTATACTGAAAATTAACACATGGAAGACGCCTTATCCACCTGGCCATGCCGGGCCATTGTTTATAATGAAAGACATATTACTTTTGATAGATGTCTTTCAACGTCAGTATAAATGAAAATTTCTCTTCAATAACAAAAATATTATTTAATTTATATTTACTGTCATATCCCATTGAGAATCAGAGCGATTCTTGATCTTACTCATTACTATCCATGCTAATTAAGAAGGAAATAAACTTCTCTTTCTATAGGACTCATATGCAAATAAATAATGTTCTATGAATGTATATTGGGATTATCATAAAGTGACAAATTAATGTACTACATAATATTATCCTAATTTCAACTATTATTTAGTGCTAAGTAGAAAATTCATAAATCATTATTGAAGGCCCCCGCCAGTGACACAGCGGTATGCCTGCGGACTTACAACGCTAGAATCCGGGTTTCGATATCCGTGGTGGGCAGAGCACAGATAGCCCATTGTGTAGCTTTGTGCTTAATTACAAACAAACAAACATTATTGAAGTTCAGTGCTTCTAGGATATTTTGGAAAAATTAAATTAATTGCATGTACAATATTTGAACTTTATATTTCTGCAATTATGCCACAGTTTTAATTGTTATAGATCAAGACTCTCTCAATTTATTTAATCAATATAACTTCCAGCTGCATTCATTACATTGCACTTGTTGATATCCATATGCGGCTAACAATTAAAACTAGTTTCTCTATATTCCCAAAGTATGCAATTGAAAGCAGTCAGTTTAACACGTAACGAGTTTTTATTGTCACTAGATACTCTGTTGACTAACTCAAATTTACGCTACTTTAACAATTTATTATTTTTTATAATAAACATTTAAAAACATTGATATTGAAATCTATTACATTTATATTACACTTACACCGATTTTATTTTCGTGCAGTTTAAATAAAGTGATCGGTAGGAAAGTGGTTTGATTTTGCAGAACATAAGATATTTTCTTAAAATAAACATTCATGATCTGGGGTTGTATTATTCCCCAGTTGCTACAATTCTTTAGTAACAGACGAAAGTATTAACAATGTGTATTTTTAAGAGATTTGTATTATTAATTTGTAGTTCTTCTACAAAGCATAGTCTATATAAAATTTTTAGTAAACACAAGATAAAAGAGGCCTGATGGTAATGGTGCTCGACTCGAGAATTAGAATCTTGTAATCAAACACGTCGTCCTTTAACGCCGTGGAGGCGTTATAATGTGATTAGTGGTGTGGACTAGCTGCTTTTCCTTTCGCCTCCTACTTCTAAATTAGGTAAGGCTACGGAAGATGGCCCTCAAGTAGCTTTGCGCAAAATTCAGTAAACAATGAGATCTAAGTTTTGACCCACAATCTCTTCTAAATGTAGCCAAGCGTGACCTTAAAAACTGCAATATTGTGACTACACTAAAGAACTCATTTTATAGCTCTTGCCTCCCAGTGGCACAGTGGTATATTTGCGGAGTCACAACGTCAGAAACCGGGTTTCAATAGCCCTGGCGGGCAGAGCACAGATAGCCCATTGTGTAGCTTCGTGCTTAATTACAAACAAACAAAATAGGTTCATGGTGGAGAAAGGCAGTCTGAGGTTGATGATATGTTTTCTGCAGTTTTATCATTGAGTCAGAGCTGTAGCTTACTTAATGATCGATTGACTATACCGTGGGAGACTGTTTGCTAAATAAAAAATGCAATCCTTTATTTGACGATTTTGAAGAAAAATAGATTTGAAAGATGGTAAGAAATAAAAAAATACAAAAATGCTTTCGATATTTTGTATCTGTATATGCGTATTATTATATATGTGCATCAATACACATTGGGCTATCTGCTGTGTCACAGCAGGAAATCGAGCCCCGGATTTAGGCGTTGTAAC